CTATACACCTTTGGGCGGTCAAGTGTTCACCCACTTCGTCACACTCGACGACAAGCTACTCGTGTACGGCATCGACAAGTTCGATGCACCTCGTGTGGTGATTCCGAATGACGCCGACCTTCGCTCACGGACCATCCATGAGTTCCACAGCTCCGATAGGCGGACATCTCGGCCGCGAGAAGACTTTCGCTGCGCTCTCGCGCACGTTCTTCTGGCCACACATGTACAAGTGGGTCCGAAAGTGGGTTCGAACCTGCGAAATCTGCCAACGCGTCAAGCCGTCTCCGTCGTCGCAGGCGCCACTGCGTCAACTACCAATCCCCACCCAAGCCTGGAGTTCAGTATCAATGGACTTCGTCGTAGGCCTTCCGCCTGATGAACACGGGCGCACGGGCATGCTTGTCTTCGTCGATCGCTTCAACAAAATGGTCCATTTCGTCCCGGTCTCCGCGACGGTAACCGCGGAAGAGTCCGTGGTACACTTCATTGACACTGTCTTCCGACACCACGGGATGCCTGCGTCTATCGTGTCGGACCGCGATCCGCGGTCCACGTCTGCGTTCTGGTCCAAGCTCTTCGGGATTGTGGGGACGAAGCTGAAGATGTCCGCTGCAGCCCATCCGGAGACGGATGGCCAAACCGAGCGTGTGAATCGCGTTGTCGAGGATGTCCTTCGAAGTTACGCGACTTCTTTTCAGAACTGGAGCTCGTTCCTGCCACTCGCGGAGTTTGCGATCAACAACGCGGAGCACGCGTCGACGGGTTTCACCCCATCCTTCATCAACAACGCGAGTCATCCTCATGTTCCAGCTCTCCTGGCTGTGGGGCCTCCCCACATCCTCGTGGCTCAACTCTGGGTGGGGGAGAAATAGACTGCGCGATCCCAGATTCTGGAGATATTGAGGACCTGACCCGCTTGGGTGGTGTAAGCCATGTCAAGATGTGCTGTAGGGTACTGTTCATTACACTATCGACCCCGCTCTACTCCGGCTGAAAATCCTGTCCCCTGGGAGACTCGAACCCTCAACCTCCCGGTCCCCGATGTGCGGCACTAACCACTACACCAAATGGAGATCGGTACCAGATTCTGGAGACAAGTCAGCGGCTCAACCGCCGCCGTCTGTCATTTCGAGTTCAGTCCTCGCGGTCGCGAGCGCAAATGCAGTCACCCGCTCGCAAACACGGAAGATTCTCGGGACACCGCCTGACGCGGCGTCGCCTATCGCCGCGTGGACGAAGCGAACGTTGATAAATCCAAGTGCTGCGTCCCCCACCGCTCAACCCGCGTCTTCTGCGAACGCCTGATGAACGCACACCAGGACGTTTGCAACGCCGTCGCCTGAACGCCCTCGATCTTCTTCCGCCGCAGCCAGCGGAAGCGCCTGAAG